CACATGCACATGCACACATGCGCATGCACGTACGCACATACACGTGCATGTACACACGCACACATACACATACACCTACACCTGCACGTACACCTCCCCTGCACATAAACATGCACATGCGCATGCACAAGCACACACTTACGCGCACAGGTGCACATGCACATACCCACGCACATACAGGTATGCACACATATAAGCATACACATACATATGCACATGCACACATACGCACAAACATGTACACGCACACGTATAAATACACGCGCTGTTGCGTCGCATGCGGCCAGGGAGGAAATCCGCACGGGCGACCAACGGTCGGCGAACCCGAGGCCCATTGATGTCGAACCTGCAGCTGCGTTCAGCGCAAGACGAGGCAGAATGCAAGACGGGCCAACCCCAAACGCACATACTCTTCTACCAACAGCGGGGTGGTGGCACTGTCGCGAAGCGTTAAGCCGGGACGCGTTTAGAGGAATGTCCACCTGGCGTAGCAGACGGGTGGACTGGACGGTGGCAGTCGCTTGCAGAACACCGCGGGGACTCTCATGCACATGGAATGCGCAGCAGCGGCCATGCCGAGCATAACCAGGCGGAGTGGAGCACAAAGGCTCTCACGCATGCGCGCACGCAAACACTCGCACACGCACCGCTGGAGCTGCAGGAAGTCCTCCCCCTCCTCCTCCTCCTCCTCCTCCTCCTCCTCCGCCTCCTCCTCCTCATCCTCCTCCTCTTCCTCTTCCTCTCCCCCGCCCCCCTACTCCTTCTCCCCAGGTGGTCCACATAGGCTGGGGGAACGCAGAGTCCAATTTATTGACAGAGCTTAGGCCCGACGTCTGGCAACACAAGCGCTTGAAGCAAGGCCAGGGGCAGTGGGTTCTCGCCGTGGGCAGCGTCGATACTTCTGTATATCTTCACGCTACGCGCAACTGCGATGTATAATCAACTTCACGGGGCCGCAATGAGCTGGGGATCTTGAACACAGGCCCATCTGCGCGATGGCCGGGGGAATGGAGGTGTGGTGTCCGAGGCAGGTCGGAAGTCTCG